TGAAAAAAAAGCCCAATGTGAAATGAATTAATTCGTTGGGCTTAATAGACTAAGCAGAGCAGAATAAAGGATTAAGTGCTCAAGGACAGTCAGTAGAATTATTCTAATGGAAGCACAGAGGGTAAAAAGAAAAAAACAAAAGAGAACAGAGTTTTAGAAGCTATGTTATTTGGTGCACATATTTCATATATATTTTACTTATTATCTCTCATGTAACCTACTGACCCCACTGACTGGGTGGTCTGCCTGGCAGCTTTGTGTCTCTCACAGGTTACGGCACAGGTCACAGCACACCTGGCTGGTACACTAAGTGGCCTGAAAGAGCAGCAGACTAAGAAGCTTCTTCCACCACCTGATATTGGAAGGCTATTCCTAGCTTCTCATGTTCCTGTAGACTTTGTTTTATGAGCAAGGGTCCTATTGTTGAAATGGAGGCATTAGGGACTGAAAGATGTTGTCACCCTCTTGATGGTCCTTGACTTATGGTCTCCAGAAACTCACTCTTCCTTCCTCCCTTCCTCCTTCCCCCCCTCCTTCCTTCCCTCCCTTTCTCCCTCTCTCTTTATTTCTTTTAAAGATTTTATCTATTTATTTGAGAGAGAGAGAGAGCACAAGCAGGGGAGGGGAAGGGGCAGGAGAAGCAGACTTCCAGCTGGGCAGGGAGCCTGATGTGGGGCTTGGTCCAGGACCCTGAGAACATGACTTGAGCTGAAGGTAGATGCTTAACCAACTGAGCCACCCAAGCACTTCCAGAAACTTTCTGATTCCCAATATGAAATTGTATGCTAGGGCTGCAATGACAAAGTACCACAGGCTGGGTGGCTTAAACAACAGAAATTTATTTTCTCACAGTTCTGGTGGCTGGTTCAAGATCAAGATGTTAGCTGGGTTCATTTCTTCTGAGGCCTCTCTCCTTAGCTTTGTAGGTCATCTTCTCCCTGTGTCTTCACATGGCCTTCCCTCTTATGTGTTTAATTTCCTCTTATTAGAAGACCAGTTATATTGGATTAGGACCCACTCTAATGATCTCATTTTAAATTAACTACTTCTTTCAAGGTCCCTGTCTTCAAATATAGCCATATTCTGAAATATTGGGGGTTAGGACTTCCACATATGAATTTTTAGGGGACTCAATTTAGTCCATAATACTCTGCACTCCAGTGTATTTTTTTCTGTACCTTTCTTTATCTGTATCTTCCTCCTGATACCGACATCATTCTACTTTGTCTTCTGGACATTTCTCTATCTGGCTAATCTCTTTTATTAGAATGTAGGCTCTCGGAGGCCATGGTGAGTGTTTGGTTTCTCTTACATCTACACATGACCTAGCACACTGTTCAGACTTTATAGTTGTTTTAGAGAGAGGTCGAGAGGACAAAAATATATTATCTCACCTCCTTATATCTCTACCTCTTCAAAACTTTTGTTGATTACCTTAATATTTCAGTTCTATTGATTACCTTTTATTTACTAATTATTTGCAAGAGAGAGAGAGAGAGAGCACAAGAGCGGGAGTGGGGGTGAAGGGTCAGAGAGAGAGAGAGAGAACCTTAAGCAGGCTCCACTCTCAGTATAGAGCCCAATGTAGCATTTGATCTCATGACCCTGAGAGCATGAACCTGAGCTGAAATTAAGAGTCAGCCACTTAAGCAACGGAGCCACCCAGGTGTCCCATTATTGGTTGCCTTTTTAATTTTAAAGATTATTCATATACTTCTGGTGTTTTTTCCATCACCTTTATACAAATTTTCAACTGTCACTCATATAAGTGATAGTATTAGTGTTCTTATAATTTCTTTACAACTTTTCAAGTTTCTGTCAACCACACCATGATTTCCACATTGTTAATGTTTATAATATGTACATTCCATTCTTGAATATAATTAAGTGGTGCTTTATCTATGGATTAGTTATTAAAGAAGAAAAAGGATAAATACTAGAAGGAGAATATTTTAAGAGCTCAAGTGAAAAGAATTTTCTTTTGTCATTTTCTAGTGATTGCTCAAACTTTGCTACATTTTAGTTTATAATTGACCATGACTTATTATTTTTTCTTTCCTGGAGTTTCTAATTGCTTTTCTTTTATTTTTAACAAAAGAACTACATATTTCTGTTATCTTTAAGGTTATCTGTGACTCAACAATACTGTTTATTAAAGTAAATGTTTTCTTCTTGAAGATTTTTTTTTCTTCTCAGAGTTCTCTCATCTCCAGTTACAATTTGGACAGATTATTTCTAGTTTTACTGCCTAACTGTGACCCTGGACTTTTTCCTTGAACTCCTGGGATACCTACACTTATTTTAGGGTTGCCATGTCTATTTTCTTACTTGGATTTGTTTTTCATTTTGCTAGAAAATATTCTGAGACAATATTTTTTAAAACAAATATTTAGGATGCAAATTTTCTATGTATTTTTATACCTGAAACTGCTTATTTTGTCCTTAAATCAACTTAATAGTTTTTTGAAAGAAAATACAGAATTATAAGTTTAGAACTTTATGTCTTTAATGAGAACTTTAGAGCATTGCTCTATTTTCTAGTTTTCAGTGATGTTGGTGAGAAGTCACCTGTCAATGTGATTGCAATTCCTTTGCAGATGATTTGTTTTTCTATCTAGAAGCTTTTACAACCTTTGTCTTAAACTTAGAATTCTAGTTTTCAGGAGAATGTGTCTGGGGGTGGGTCTTTTTCCACTCACTCTATTTTACTTTTTTCTAGAATTCTTAGTAAATGGATACAAGTCTTCTTAGACTAATCATGTATGTTTCGTATTTTCCCTCATATTTTCTTCTGTCTTCTTGATTACATTCCGAGAGATCTCCTGAGCTTTAACTTTTTTTCCTACGGAATTTTTATTTTAGCATTAACACTTACAAGAACTCATTCTTGTTCTCCGTTTGCTCCATTTTAAGGGCCTGTTCTCTTTTAAGGAAAACATACCTTCCTGAATTCCACTAAGGACACTACTTTTTTAAGAATTCCTTTCTGTTCTTTGAATTTTGTTGCTTTGTTCATCCTGATTCTTACCTTTTGTGCTATTGGTATCCTTTGGTGCCTTGTTTGGTGGTCCGTATTTATTTAAGATTTATTTATTTGAGAGAGAGAGTGAGAGAGAAGGGGGGGCAAAAGGAGAGGGGGAAAAGCAGACTCCCCATGAACGGGGAGCCCACTGCAGGGCTTGATCTCACAACACTGAGATCATGACCTGAGCTGAAATTACGAGTCTGACACTCAGCTGACTGAGTCACCCAGATGACGCAGTGGTCCATATTTATGAAGGAGAATGAGGGTGATGCACATTTGCACTTAGTGAGATTCATGAAGGCAGCTTCATTTTGCTGGGATTTCTGCTTGGACAGTTGGTTCCACCAATCTGAATATCTGAATATGTATATATTCCTTTAGGACTTGGGAATGTGAATCTATTATTCATATAATTTATATATTTTCTTCATATATATATATCCACCCCCCACCTAGAATTTCCAGTCAATGCTGGCATTTCCCCCAGAATCTTCTCCTCAGAGTGGGAGTGGCCCTGAGAGCTCCTAGAGTGTTGACCACTTGCTTTTACTTTGGTGTGAATAGGCCAGGAGTGGTCAGGCCAGGGGGCCCCAGCTGCCCAGCACTCATCCACACCCCACCTCCCTCTGATATAGGGAGGGTTCATCAGATGAGGAGCTGGGGGTATAATGCCTGAGCTGGAATTAAGACGCTTGTGAAGCCAAGGGTACAGCATTGTGAGTGACAAGAACATGGACCTTGAGAATGTGGGGATGGGAGGACGAAGAATACTTGCAGGGTGGAGGGAGAGGGAGGCATGAAGTTGGCAGAAGGGTCATCACAGAAATGGAGACGTGCATGCTGGGATCGGAGAGAGCTGCGCTGGGATTGGGGGATGTCTCCTGCATATGGAGAGGCTAGAGTGAGGCATGGGAAGAATACGAGGAACAACCAACCTCCAGAAATAAGGGGAGAGGTAGGAGTGCAGTCCAAGCACTGCCCCCTTGGGGGCTGGGAAGGAAGAAGGAGAGCACGGAGTCTGGGTCTCTGCTTGCTCATTCATTCATTCATTCCTTCATCATGCTGATTGAATGTCTCTCATGTCTCAGTCTGGGCCGGGCTCTGAGGGGCACTGGAGGTGGTGGACAGGCTGGACTCTCACACAACACTGTCCCTTTCTTCATGACAGTGGCCTGCAAGACACCCTCCATGTTTAAATGAACAGCAGTCGCCCGCCTCGTCCTGCAGTAAAGGTTACGATGCCCCGTCACATCTGTGAGCTCATTTGTTCCTGGCACTTACATCTGAGTTGGAGCATGGACTTGGGTGCTGCCCAGACTTGGGCATGACCTCACCTCTGCTGAGTGACCTCAAGCCAGTTTCCTCATGTATAAAGCTGGGACGGGAACATTCTTGTTACATGATTTTTCTAAGCCTCAGGTGTGTCCACATGAAGTAGGATTGGGCCGCCCCCTCTCAAGTAGCTGTGAGGATTTGTGCAATGCCCTGTGGCCCAGCTTACAGTGGAGAAAATATACCAAGTGTTACGTGGCTTTCCTCTGTGTCACCGACAGACCCAGGTCCCATGGCTGTGGGTGGAGAAACTGGGACCCCCTGGCTCTCAGTCTGGTTCTCTTTCTGTCTTGCCAGGTAAGCTGGACAGAGCCACAGAACAGCCCAGACTCCCTGTGCCATGTGACCCAAGTTCCTCCCTGTTCCTGTGTCCACAGGGCCTGTCTGCTTCCTGGTGAGAAGAGGATAGTGTGAATCACCTTCTGAGACAGGAGTGTGACTAATGCCAGCACCTTCAGCGGACACGGGGAAAGGCTTTCCTCTGTGCCCTCACACCTTGGCTGAGCCCTGATGGGTGGGGATGGGCTTATTCACAGGAAATGGGTGACCAAGGAAAGAACAGCAGAGTAGAAAAGCTGTCACCCAAGACAACCATCGTTGACTGCCAGTTCCAAGATCTGCAGACATGGGACAGCCGGTTGTCCTAGCACACTTGGCAAAACCCACCTTCTGTGGGCAGAAGCTCTGAGCAGCCTAGCTGGCCTTGACCACCCCATCCTACAGAGCTGGATGGCAGACCCAGGTGTCCATTTTAGAGCCTCATGGCTATGCAGAGAAACGTGTGACCCTGAGCTTGCTGGCTTATTGAGCGTAGTTCTGACCCTGAACAGAAATGGATTTTGTGTCACTCCAGCTCATCTGGAATCAGGTCAGCTCCCTGCTGGCCCAGCCCCACTGGCTGTTCTGTCTGGTGCCTGCTGCACTCAGGGTGCAGGCCTGTTCTCTCCTGGGAGTTATGGCTCACTAGCATTTAGAGCACCTTGCTTGCACGTGGTACCCCCTCCCCACCGTTCCCTGCCAATTCCCTAGGTAGGCAAGCCAGGGGCACATTGTGTCCATTTTACAGTAGAGGTGGGCTCAGAAGGGCCCGAGCTTGACTTAACACTCTTCTGCTGCCATCTTGAAATTTTAATAATCTTGTCTTTGAGCTTGTGTTTTCCAAGTGAACTCTGATGGGATCTTGGAGCCCATGCAGGAGTGGAAGAGGTCCATTGACTCATGTATCAATTGTTCCTTGCTGTCCTACCTGCATACAGTGTTCTCGAAGCTCCGTGAACACAAAACTCCAGTGGGTCCCCAGAGGTACAGGAGCTCTGCGAGACTCAGAGTGAGTACAATATGTGTGTGTTACATTCGAGGACACCTGAGCAAGGGCATGGATGCCTCCAAAGTCCACACTTTGCATTTGAACCAGAACTTGCTTGGAATGCAGAAAGAAGGGTAAGGTTCTAGGGAACATGAATGACTGAGAAACACTGTCTTATTCTTACTCAGGTTACTTCCATGTGTCAGCCAGTCGCTTACTGGGAAAGTGAGGGCACAGAAGGGAGTAGACACACAGGCACCCAGGGTTCTCTTTCCTCCAGTGCCTCCTCACTCAGCAGGAGGGCAAAGGCACAGCATGTGGGTGGAATGTCAAGGAGCGACATAAAAAATGTTGAGTTAGTGCCGTGTTTCTACTGCTCTGGAAAGGATGAAAATACTTTTGCGTACAAACTGCAAAATACAGAGTGTGTGATTTTGATGATTCCACATATGAGTTAAATGGTCTTATATTTGCATTTAAAACTGTCACTGCACAATGCAGTGTTGAATGGTGTAGTTAGAATGGCATTAAGTAGCAAATAAAAACACCATGACAAGTGGAGATGGAGGGTATCGTGGAAGAAAGAAACATGTTTGGTATTTTAGCAATTTTAATGGCACTTTCCTCCTGTTTTTTGCACAAACATCCCACATTTTTGTGTTGAACAAGGGACCTTGCAATCATAAATACAGCCCTTGGTGGGGGATAGGGAACGGAGACAAAGAGGATGAGAAGCCTGTCGAGATCTCGGAGTTATTTGGGGGCAACCCCGGAGCAGACGGTGGTCTCTGAGGAATCTGGGGACAGGATCCACCTCGATGATGATGAAGATGATGGTGATAAGCCCACCGTGTTGCACCAAGCATGATACATGCAGAGGCCCACTCATCTCCATGGCAACCTGGAGGCAGAGACAATTACTTTCTACCCTGCAGAGGAAGAAAGCAAAGCTCTGAGAACCGCTGCAGCCTGCCCGCATCTCTATCTGCCAAGTGGCTCAGCCGGGAGCCCTGGACCATCAGACCATGGTCACCACGTCTCCATTCTCCCACCTGCAGGGGAGAACACACCTGATCCCTTGGCCTCTGTCTGATGACCTTGGGCTCCTTTTGGTAAGAAACAGCGCCATTCATTTTCTTTCTTTATGAAAACTGAATGAGAGTAATACATGATGACTACTAATAAACCGTTTAAAGTACACAAAAGTATTTTCAAGGTACTAATAGAGAATGCCCTGTAGCCTCCCTGGCCCCACCCCTGTTCAGCGTATATCCTTCTAGAACTTTCTCCATGCATGTATGTGCCAGGCTAATGATTGAGATGGCGCTTCCTCCTCAGTCCTGGGTTTTCCTGCCTCCAGATCTATAAGGCAGCCAAGCAGGGGTTTGTAAACAGCTTTTGGGCCGCAGGGCCCGGAGTAGAAGATGCTGGACACAGAGAAACAGAAACAGAACCCGGGTATGTGTTTTGAAAGCCAGAAAGTCAGGAGCGGCGTTTGGGACTGGGTGTCCCACAGTGGTGGGGTTCTGAAGGTAGACATGTACCCACCTGGGTCAGGGTTTATAAATAGCAGAAACCTGTTCCCCTTCTCACACATCTCCTGGGGAAGCCATGGTGGGGGAAGGATCTCAGAGCTGCATCACGGATGTCCAGGGACCCCATGCTCAGGCACGGCGTGTCTCCATGGCATGTCTCCACCTTCACACAACCACAGGGACTGGCCACAGGCCCCAAGAAGGGCTGCTGTGGCCCGAAGACCCAAGACCCCCTCTGTGAATTTCCTAGAGGTCTTGTTTGACCACCCAACACATTGGATCACTTCCTCTCCTCTCGAGTGAGTGTTCCAAGACAGGTTTGTATTGATTTAGGACAAATTAATAAACATGACATCTTAACGTCCAAGTGTAATAGTGATATTGACCTGAATGATCCTGAGGTCCCTGCCAACCCCGGCTTCTTGGCAGGCCCCATGGGATCGACTCTTGCCCTAGTAAGCCAAAGGTGAGCCTCCTGCTCATGGGCCCATGCGTGACTGTCTGCCTAAGTCCCTGCCCTAGCGGGAGGGGTGCTGGCCCCACTGCTTATGAGGCTACACATGGCTGTCTTGATGGGGTTCCACAAAAGGAGATCTGGTAGCAGCTTCTTAGAGGTTACGATTTCCTCTTGTTGCAGAGAAGACCCCCCCTTTGATGACAAGTGGGCTGCCTGCGGGTCTCTGAGGTGCTTACCTAGTGGGGCTACAGGGTCCGATCCAGGGAGCTGGTCATTTCCCAGGGCTCCTCCCAGAGATCCCCCTGGCCAAGCCAATGACCATGTGCTGGCATCTGAATCCAGGCTCATCTGGCTCCTGGATCTAAGCTCTTGAGGGGCAAGAGACAGGTGTATGCAGGCAGATATTCTGGGAAACTGAGCCCCCTGGGACTTCTCCCCAGAAGGGGGCTTTTGTCACCACCTGGCACGTGGACGGGGGAGTCCTCCTCACAATCTGAGGCCAGCCCCCCTTTCCTGTCACCTCATACAAGACCAGCCCCTCTTGGGCTCCCAGTGAGGCTGTGACTCACGCTTAATGGGATCACCATGGGGAGGCAGAAATGGCATAGTTCTGGCAGACCTCAGTTTCTTTTTTTGGAGAATGGTGGCTGGACTTGATCGTCCCCTCACTCTGTGTTCAGATGAGTCTCACAAAGCTGCTTCCCTCAGGCCAGGCCAAGCGGCCAGGTTTCCGTATTAATCTGGGTGAGAAGCCATTCAGAGGGTTTCACCAAAATGCATCCCAGATCCACCTGGGCTTGGAGGAGCCCTGGTACCTGCCTGCTGGGAGGTGTGTGAGCATTCCACCTCTCACGGCCAGGAGCAGGCTTTGCTGGCAGCACTGAGGGGCTGACTTCCCAGTCAACTTTCTAGAGCATCAGTTTACCGGATGCGTCAGTCTAGCAGATGGTAACTAGTTTAAAACAGCATTTTACTAAAACAAACTAAGATATGATGAATTAAACATAAAGTCAGCAGGAACCCAGAAGATCAAACAAGAGCTATCGCAGAAATTTCACATTTGCAGAAAGTTGCTCCGAGTTACTGCTCCCAGGAGCCCAGATTGAAACCCACGCCTTCTGACATGCTACCAACCTTTCTCCTCTCTGGTTCTATACTCTGGGAGGCCATGTGGCTGCCTGGGGGACTTCTTGAGGAAAGTTGTGATTTGCTGGACTGCTGCATCCCTGGCTGGGGATGAAGCCTGATTTTTGTCCCTATAGCAGAGTGGGAGAAGGTGGTCTGCTAACCTTTGTTCAAGGACATTGCCATCTGAGTACGAATGGAATGCTAGAGGGTGCCACAATGTTTCTCTTTGCTAAAGAAATGTCCTGACTTCCTTTCTCTCATCTGTACCAGGACTCACATGTGCATTTGGGAAGGTGTCTTATGAGCAACTGGGATTGGAGCTTGTCCAGCCTCTGTCCCTCTGACCCAGCATCCTGTTCCTGTCCCTGGTTCCCACCTGCTCTACACATTGCTCCGGGGGTATGGAGGAAAAGGCTGTGGCTGGGATGGTTCCAGAAGAAGGTCACCCATGGAGTCTCGCTTTTCCTCTGGGGATTGGGGCAAGGAGGCTTTGGTTGCCTCAGGTTATATGTGGAAATCGGTGCATTATTCACATGGGGACCTGAATTTGTTCTTCCCACCAGCCTTGGGTTGAGGTGACCTGTATGGGCAGCTCCCCTCTCTGCCCTGTCTCTCTTAGACCACATGCTTCTCTACTCATTAGAACACAGTGGCAGCAGACTTCTGGTGGGGCCTGTGGTGGTGGGAGGAGAGCTCTTTCCAAGCCTCTGGGAGGTTGTCAGCACATGAGCTGTGACCACACCCTTGTTGGGAGAAGTATCAGCTCCTTATCCTTATAAGTGGCAGCTATTAAAAACCATGATCTTAGAAAAGCAAAATAATGCTGGCAGCTAATAAGGAGGGCTCATTGTAAACCAGTTCCCATGACTGGTCCTTCTCGGCATTGGCACATCGCAATGGTTTTGTGATGAATTGTAATCAGTCCCATTTTACAGGTGCAAAAAGCAAGGCTTACCATGGCCTCTTTGCTGTCATGTGTCAAACCCCAAGCCCTTTTCTATGAAGCTCTGCAGGAATCATTCCATTTTCATCTCTTAATGACCTTCCAGGCGAGTACTGTGGTGATGTCATCCTATAGGTGGGGATACTGGGGCTCAGAAAGGTTCAGTGGTTTGCCCTAGTTACACAGCTAGTGGTGGGTCTGGCCCTAGAACTCTGGCTGTCTGACCCCAGAGCCATTGCTCTTTATCGCTGGGCTGGTGGGGTGCCCTGGGGAAGGAATATTCTTGCAATCAAGGAGCCAAAACCCAAGATCACAAGACTGGGGTGAGGCCCAGGCCATGGTTCCATCATCCACCCTCCACTGGTCATGGATTAGAGGTCACGTACCCACTGCTTAGGAAAGGCTGAGCTACCACCTCATGGTGGGCAGTGCACAAGACTGTGCTAGGTACTCAATCAGCCTGTGCATGCATGGCTGGGGCTTGGCTGTGAGTCTGTGGCTTCCTGTTGAGTTGGAAAGCCATGTCTGGGCTTCTCCCTGGGCCTCCAAAAAAGCGCAATAACCTGGGCAAGCTGATTTTTCTATAATTAAATTGCTACATTGTCATCCTTTCAACAAAAATGACATATTAGCATTTCCGTGTTCTCTTAGAAATTCATCACACACCTAGGAAATACTGAGAAAGCTAAGAGCTCTCAGAGCCCTTTTGTTTTGCAAGTCAACTCATGGCTTCCTTCATCAAATGTCCTTGCTTGGGGGCTGGGGGTCCCCAGGCCTGTCCTCAGGGATCTCACATTCTACAAGGGAGATGTAGAAGTATTTTGGGCAGCTCTAAAACTGCACCTGTATTGATTGATTGACTTATTAACTCATTCAATGAATATTTATTGAGGACGTATTATGTGTAGGAAATTGATACTTGAATTATTCATATTTTGCATTTCTTTATTGGTTTTAGAATTGTAAAGTGCCTTGTGATATGTTCTATAAAAACCCAACAGGCTTGTGACCTTGTTCACTTCTAGAATAAAGATCATCTTCTACAAATCAAAAGTTAGACTACGGGTTTGAGCATACTTCCTACGTCATCTTTTTGAGCGAGAGTGAGTAGTGTCCTGGTGTTTCTCACCCTGGCTGTGAGTTAGCACCATCTGGGTTGGGGAGGTTTATAAAGGGTCCATGCCATTGTCTGGGCCTTACACCTATAGCTTCTGATTTGACAGGGTTGAGGTGGGGGTCTGGGAGAAAGCAGTCTTGTGAGACTCCCCATGTGAATTTCCTGTGCAGCCATAATTTGAACCCTTGGTCGCTACCAGTAGTTCCTAACCTTTGCTGCACATTAGAATCTCTCCTGGAAAGTTTTAAAATTTCCCACGCCATGGCTGCAACCAGTCTGCTAAATCAGAACATCTGGGGGTGTCACCCAGCCACCGATGTATGCTAAAGCTCCCCAGAAGGTTCCAAGGTGCAGCCAAGACTGAAAGCCACTGGTCTCCTCCAGTTTTATTTTATTTTTATTTTTTAAAATTTTATTTATTTATTTATTTATTTGAGAGAGGGAGCATGAGTGAGAGGGAGAGGGGGAGAGAATCTCAAACAGACTGCACTGTGCACAGAGCCCGATGTGGGGTTTGATCCCCCGAGTGCAAGATGATGACCTGAGCCAAAACCACAAGTTGGATGCTCAACCGCCTGAGCCACCCGGGCACCCCAGTCTGCTCCTATTTTACATTCACAGACGGGCTGAGGATGGTATCACAGAGCCTGGGAGATTGGAGCTGGGTTTTGAAGGAGGAATAGGAGTTTGCTAGGATATTCTAGAAGAAGATGGGACATTTGCAGGTGGAGAAACCAGTGTGTGCAAAGGCAGCAGAACAGGAAGGAGAGTGGAGGACTTGAGATGCAGTGGGACTAGGGCAGCATCAGGGAGGTTGAACAGGTGGGAGGAAAGCATCCTGCAAGCCAGACTTGTGAGCCTCTGCCTGAGGAGTCCTGGTAGGAAGTGATTGGACCTGTTTGTGTTGTGAACATCATTGTTGGTGATGGAAGGCTTGGAGGGAAGGCTGGAGACGGGGTGACCAACAAGGAATTTGTTTCAAAAGCCTCGATGGGAGTTAGGGAGGCCCCAGGCCAAGGTGGTAGCCAGAGGGTGAAGGAGAACAGGCTTTCTGGAGACACTCCCGAGGGGTTGGGTGGGTTTGAAATGTGTCTGCGAGTTCTATAATGTGCTTCCCAGGGAGAGGTGGCATTGATATCCCCTCCCCCTTGAAGTGTGAGGACAATATTTTAATGAGGAGCTGCTGCAAACTGTCAAGGGGGCATGCAGAGCTCTCTGAAGACGGGGCAGAGGTGTGCTCATCTAACTTGATGATTTGGGGAGGGACATGGGCCACCACAGAGCTCCCATACCCTTTGGGCACCTCCAGCCAGTGGCCCACAGGCACATCCGATCCCACAGGTCCAAAGTGAGCTAGAGGCATGGGGGGGTATCTCTCACTTTCCCTTCTTCCTCACCCTTGTATCTGGCTGGTCGCCAAGTCCCAGGGTCCATCTCTTCCAGTGACCATAGCAATGGTCATTTGCTTTCCTCTATGGACTGGATTCTGCAGGCCAGGAGTCCAGGCAGGAGAGCTTGTCTCTGCTCCACAGCATCTGGACCTCAGCTGTGAAGACTCAAGGCTGAAGTGTAGAATCATCTAGAAGTCATCTTCACTTGTATATGTCTGGCAGGTGATGCTAAAGTTATCCGGTAAAGTTATCAACTGCTTCTGTTGGATGGAGCACAACATGTCATCATGGACATGTGGCCTCTTCCATGGCCTGGGCTTTTCCAGCATGGCAACCTCAGGGGAGTCAGATTTTTCTCAATGGATACTCAGGGCTCCAGAAGTGAGTGTCCTAAGAGAACCAGGCCCTAGCTCCCAAAGTAATGCACTGTCCCATACATGGCATTCTGGTACCTGGAAGGGTGGCCCAAATTCAGACAAGTGAGGCAGCAGCTCCTATGTGACTGGTTCCCATGGTTCCCATGATCCTTGTGGTTCCTTTGGTTCCTGTGGCCTCTGTAGTCCCCATGGTTCCCATGGTCTCTGTGTTCCCTGTGGTCCCCATAGTCTCCATGGTCTTATGGTTCCTGTGGCCCCTCTGGTCTCCATGATTCCCACAGCTTCCATTGTCCCTGTGGTTCCTGTGGTGCCATGGTTCCCATGGTCTCTGTGGTTCCTGTGACTGAGGCCCAACCAGACCCAGGGTGGAAAGGTCTTCTGGTTGCTGGTGGTGTTTAAGGACCAGCCAAAGAGCTTTGGGGAAACTTTCCAGGTAGGTTCCGCTCAGAGCAGGGAGGAGCCAGATGAGGCTAGGTGCTGGGAAGGAGACCAGTCCCAGGACCAGCCACTCAGCCTCTCCTTCCAGCCTTTTGACCCAAGGGCATTTTGAAGGGGCCTAAAAACCAAGACCTTAAATCACTCAGCTTTCTTTTTATCACTAAGAAGGATACAAGGTAAAATCCTCACCTGACCCTACGGCTTACCTTGGGGTGTATCTGGGGATAGAGTGAGGGGGTCAGAGACGGGGCTGGTGTACACGTGGACTGGGGGCCGAGAGCTGGGTGCAGCCGCTCATGGGCCACATCCAACCAGCGGATCTAAGCCCGGCTTTGCCTCTCAGGGGTGCGTTGTGTGCGTGAGTGCATGAGAGTGAGTGTGTCTACATATGTATGTGTGTCGGTGCGTGTATATGTGTATTCTGTGGGTCAGTGTGTCTGTGCATGGGTGTAGGTCGCATGTGTGCATGCACGTCCGATTCTGAGTGTCGTGTGTGCATATGTGGCTGCGGGTGTCAGAATGTGTACACGTGTGTGCATGCATACGTGCAGCTTCTCCGAACTCCCCCAGGTGTCCCGACGTGCTAAGCTGGGTTCTGTGCTCCGTGCTTTGTGTGGTGATGGTTGCTGAGCACTGTGTCATTCTCATGACGGCTTTGGTGTGCAAACCTCTGTCATCCCCCCCTGCCCGGGTGAGCCAGCGGGGTTCCAGAGGAGCTCAGGAGCTCCTTAACCTTTCCTGATCTCGGGGAGGCTGATCTGGGCTGTTGGACTCCAGAAAGCGATGCTTAGCCCGGCTGACTCACGAAGCCAGCGGTGGCCTGCTCCCCAGGAAGGACCCCTGGACAATACTCCAAGCCGAAGAGCCGGGCCTTCGATCCACATTCCAATCCCGGAATCCTGCCTCAGCTGGCATCTCTGCCCGAAGCCTCCCCGTCCCCCTAGGGGACCGTCTGGACAGATTCACAAACTCAGCACCATGAGGACCACCTTGGGTGCCCCGGGACCGCCAAGGAGATGAATAAAGCAAAGCCTTCCGCTGGCCCC